CGTGGGATCTCCCACTGCCAGGAGGTCCCTGCTGTCAGCTGCTGCTCCAGGGGCTGAAGCGCACTGGGACCCATGGCAAAGCCCCTGGACTGGGGCAGCTCCTGGGAAACGCTGGCTCCTCTTCCCTGAGGACCTGGCTCGGGTCTACAGCGACACGAGGCTTGATGCCTCGTTGGGAAGGGGATGGCCACAGGGGACGGACCTTGTGTTGGCCATCATGCCAGCACCTCCAGTTCCTCCTTCACACTTTTCTTGTGGGGATGTGCTGCCGGGCTGCTCCAGGCCACAGGTGCAGCCATGTCCTGTGCATGTCCGCACACAGGAGGAGGCAGCTGGAGGAAGCTCCTAGATATATACACACGGGCACACACACACACCCTACTCTTCTTCTGCAGGTATCGCAGCACAGCCGGTCCTTGGTGTTAGGGCAATCCGGGACCTGCCTGTTCTGAGACACAAGAGGGGCAGCATGGGGTGAACACAGCTCTTTGTACCCAGGCCAGCCCCACAGGAGGATGCCAGCTGTGTGATGGCTCTTATTCCCCAGCACCAGCTGCCATAACCCCGCAGGCTGCTGGGGCTCAGGCTCATGCCCATCTACAGATGCTGTGGGAATCTGGGGATGCAGCAGGGACCAACTCCATAGCAATATCACTCCCTCGGCTGATCAGAGGTGGGGGCAGAAGGGAAATGGCCACCGCCTGGCAAGCTGTGTCCCCCCTCCCTCCCGTAAGCATTCAGCCGGCTGCCCAGTGTCTCAGGGTGAAGAATAGGGATGCTCCCCTCGCCCAGGGTTGGAGCCTTACCCAAGTCCTTGGGGACTGGTTTCACCCCAGTCACTGCCTGGGCATTCTGGCTGCGAGCCATGGCGCAGGGTGGGCGCCAGGGGTACTCGGGCTGTGGGAGGAGATGAACAGAGATAGTGAATGATCAGGGATGTGAATCACAAGGCTGCGCTTAATTGCCAGGGTGTGAGGAGAAGGAAGGGGAGGAAGAGAGCTGAGCAATCGTGCCAACAGGACAAGCGTGCTCAGCTCCCTGCTGTGTGACTTGGTGGCCCTGGAGGAGCCACTCTCCTCTCCAGTGAGCCCCACACCCGCTTATATGGGACCCTCTGCTCCCCTCATGCCGGCACGGGTAGACACTCACTGGGGAAAAATGGTGGAAGTTTTGTCCTGCTGTGTGATCGCCTGGCATTGCTGGTGGGTATCGGATCTGCTGCCACTCATCGAAGCCTTGGTACATGGGGTGAGGCATGGCGGGACTGTACTGGTACTGGTACATGGGGCAGGAAGGGGCCAGCGGCCCTGGCAGTGGCTCAGGGTG